CAGCTAGCGTATCAAGTGCATGAGGTACTGAAAGTTGCTTATCTCGCCATTCTGCCAGCGTTTGCTAAAGGACTTGGCCATTGTCTTGAAAAGCCGGCCTCCTTCATTGCTGTCTAGCTTGGACACTCCAGAGATTGCCGTTTCAAGCCTGTTTGTCACAATGACAAAAGCAATTAGCTAGCGAAAGGAGGAGTCAAAACTCAAGTACCTGCTGCTACGAGGTAAGTTGATGGACAAAAGGTTCTTAAACACCTCATCTCGCTCTTCCTTGTGGAACACCAAGAGATCATTGCAGCCATCCATGCTGAACAGCTCGATAGCAACGGGTCGTAGCTGATACCAACGCTTGAGAAGCTCGTGCACACTGTCGAGTTTCCACATCCGCCACGAGTGTGGCATTTGTCGTCCCGACGAGAGTTTTTCCTTCCCCCAAGCACCTCCACTGCAAGCCCAAGCCTTCCCTCCCGGCCATGTGTTCTCGGTGTCCGACCAAGTCGCGGTCTGCGTAGACTCGAAGACGACCGAGATGCTTGTCTTCACTCCCAGTGCTTGATCGATTACCGAAAGCTCGCCCTCACCACCTTTCTCACATATCCGGCCGGCACTGTCGATGAAGTAGTTCTCGATGATGTACAAACACCTCTCCCCGATGAGAAAGATTCCATCATGCTTATCCAGCCCCGCAACACGCTCGCAGTTGTAACGGAACCTGATCTTCTCGCCACGCTCCAGGTAGGGAGCTATCAAATACTCTCCGTCGTCCTGGAAGTCTTGGTCGTCTGCGTCGTCCAGCTGAAAGTCGCCGGTTTTAGTTGGCGAAGAGCCCGGAGCAGTCCCATGAGCGTCCGACTTACTTCTCTGGATTGATTCCGGGCTCTTCCCGCTGTCGTTGATGGCGCTTCTGCTGCGTTCGATGGTCCCGTCACCTCTGGTCGACAAGGAATTTGCATCGTCTTCCCGTCCTTTGGACTCGGTGTCCTCTTCGTCAAAGGACTCGAGGTAGTCCTTGGCAGCATTCTTCTTAGGACTGTCGACGCCCAAGGAAAAGATGTGGAAGAAGGAGTCGTAGTCCGGATTCTCTATGTCCACAGCGAACCCGGCCTGACCATTGGGAAGTACTTCCGCTTCAGCTTCTTCAGGTGCGTGAGCAGCAATGTCAATCTTCGGCTTGCAACGTACGAGCTTCTTCCGCATGCGATACGGGCCCTCGGTAGAGCAGAGTTGCCACTCGTTGTCACTCTCAGCTACAGACTTGACAACGGGCCACAGCCCGCGCTCGTGCATGAGCTGTTGGATATGATCCTGCCACTCATTCTCGGCGTGTATCACCCAACCATATTTCACCTGTCTCATCAGCCGGAGCTCCGCCGATAGAGAGTCTCTCACCATGTCGAGAGCAACTCTGCGCTCCAGCATCTGTTCCCAGTGGCGGCCGTCCGCCTTGCTAGCATCTTTCATCCTCCTCCCCATCTCTCTCTTCCGCCTCACCTCGAAGTTTTTGAGACGTGAAGAGTTGAATCGAGCCGCGCCACCTATAAACTGCATCCATGCAAGCGAGGCACGTTGCTCCAGCACCCGTCCAATGGCATCGTGAGCGTCGTCAAACCACGTATAGAAGCCGATCGAGTTGGATGCCAGGAGCTTGTCGAAACCTCCGTGGAAAACGTCCAGCGCCTCGCCAGAAGCGTGCCTGAGCACGAGAATGTCCTCCAGTGCCTCTTTGCGGTAGTGTAGCAAGACTTTGCATGCATCCACGGCGAGAGTCCGAACAGCCTGCCGTGGATCTTGAAGCAGAGGCACGATGTTGACGAGGAGGCATTGCAGGAACTCCGAGTCGACGTTGCCGGGACACAAGACCAGCTTCTTGTGGGATATAAGGAGCTGCAGGACCAAAGTGATGTCCAGTCCTCCTTTCGCTAGCAGGCCAGTGTTACTCGACGTTAGTTCCTCGTTTGTGGTGGGCGACGGGAGAAAGCAGAACAGAAGCATCCGGTTGGTGTTACGTAGCAGGGACTGGACGAAAGGCTCGAGCTGCTTGAAGCCACCACGAGCAAGAGATAACAAGCTCCTGCCGGTTGTCATTGCTTCCTCCACCCGGCCGTGCTTGTTGGCCAGCTGCAGCATCGATAGCAAGAACTCGAGCACCTTCAACACCCCTGCCGAATCCGAAAATGCTCCCATGTAGACACGATCCACCACGAGCGAGCTGAATGCATCCAGATTTGATGACCAGCGAGCTCTGTCCAGCTTCTTGTGTGCTTCCTCGTCATCACGTTGGAGACGACGTTCGAGGAAGTTCATGACCCGGTAGAGGCAGAGTCCTTGAAACACCACAGCGATATCGCCACCAATATGGAGAGGCACAGCTTCCAGAGTTGCTTCCACCAGTGGCGTGGCTTTCAGCTGATCAGCTAGAGCGTCGGCTAGCACCTCAGCCACAAGGTCCAAGACGGCTGTAGCACCGGAGGAGCAAGGTCCACCCCCGGAACCGGCAGATTCCAGCTGCAACAGGAGCTTCTTGGTGATCGGAAAAGCTTGCTTGTCGTCCTGAATCGATGATCGATCCGAGTCACTGGCAGGACCATGTGTTGAAGCGCTTACAATGGACGTCGTTCTCGATGGTATGCTGCTGGCAGAGCGGGAAGGAGCAGGAGTGTCGCTAGGAAACGTGCTTTTCACCCACGACGCCAAATTGTTGCCAGGCGTTCGCGATGGCAAAGGAGTTCCAGCCTCGTTTCTCGAGTTGTCTGACGTTGTCGGAGACAGTGGAAGCGTCACGAATGCGGAAGTTGACGACTCGGTGAAAGCGTTGGAGAATGACGAAGAACGCTGAGAGTGAGTGTCGTCGCCGTTGGTGGTGTTTTCCGCGTACGTGGATGGAAAGACGAAGAAATTGTCTATGGACTCGTCAGCTTGGAACGGCTTCATTATGTCGATTGGAGAAGACTTGGTTGAAACAGCCAAGAGCTCTACTTCCTGAGCTGCTGGTTCCTCTGCGTCGGCCTTGGCTCCAACTTTCTGGTTAATAACTTGGAAGTCGTCCGAGAACTTATAGCTCGACTGGTTGTTTGCCTCGGCAGAGATTCCTTGGGCAGCCTCGATAGCTGCCGCAGACCTGCAGAAACAACAATAAACGTTTGCAAGTCCTCAAAGCAATCGTACCTCGCACAGGAAAAATAAAGTTCCACGCTTCCTTCGAGAAAATCGAGACGCCTGCAAGCTGTCGAGAAAGGACGATGCATTTTGGCCAGATCCACCATAAACCTCAGCAGCGAAGTCACGAGAGATGGCGCTGCAGCCTCGCCACCCATGAGGCGTGCAGCATATGTCTTGTGCAGGAGAGCTTCGCTCTGAAGATCACCTCCAATATCCTTGAATCCATTCGCAAAGCCAGCTGCCAGAGACTCCGGAAACTGCGAAAAATCTCCTGTCTGCTGCACTATTTGTGACTGAAGGCTCATCTTGTCAAACGCTGCCTTGAACATGAGTAGAATGGAGTCGAGGAATTCCGTGAAGAGAATTTCTCCCTCGATAGCTTCCCCGGGCATCAAGGCGTGAAAGTCCAGCAGCCGGACCTCCGGTTGACGAGGATAAACTGGTTTCCCGAACATGAGGCAGAAGAGGATGTAGTATATCTCCGGAGCATCGTAGAAGCTGGAAAGTACGTGGGAAATGGCTTGATATCCGCCACTGGCACGGAACTTTATCGAGAAAGTTGGCGACGAAGATATGCAAACTCCAAGCAGGGTCATTATCCACCGCATTGTGGTCGGGTGTGCCGCCTCGTCCAGCACAAAAGTTATGATTCTCGAAGAGACTGTCTTGTGCCAGGTCTCCAAGACGTCTTCGGCATTGATAGTCATCTGCAGGTCGATCAGCATTTCCAGAAGAACGTTTCTCACGATGACCTGCAGCCCCATGGCCTCCCGAGATATCGGAGAGTCGCGAACAACCTCTGGCGGATTGAAGCTCATGACGACGTAGTCGGCCACGTACTTGAGCTCCGAAGGCAGAAACCATCTTCGAGGAGATACCGAGTAGCACAACCAGCTTCTCTATCACAGCACCTCTATATCTCCTCGTGCAACGGACCACTAGTATCACAAAACCCGAAAACCCTCTCTTTTCTTTTTTCTTTTTTTTTTTTTTCCTTTTTTTCTTCCCCTTTTT